ATACACACCTTTCGCATAACTTTGAAGCATGAAGGTGTGGCTCATTTTGGCATGTAATAATGTGCTCGTGCTGATATCGTGCTGCCTCTGAGCAGCAAGAGACAATGGCTGCAAACACGAAATGTGATCGCGTATACTTGAAAGGGCCTTGATTGGTTCATACGTCCCCTGCAAGTACACATGTATAGGGGCTTCTTGCCTGTGACCTCTTCAAGGCACGAGGAATCTGCGGAACGACAGCCATGCCGAAAAGCGCTGTGCACAGTAAGAATGCTTCGAAGTCACGACAAGTCTGTAAGGCGAAAGAAAATGCAGAGAAGAATGATGAGCCCCAAGAACGGTCCCAACAAGTCTGCGTTTGTCCGAGCTGTATCGATACATATTTGTCTGACTTTTCAAGTAAAATGAAAACCCTGCAACCTATAATTGACGCCGTTCAAAGCCCTTCAAATGAACAAACCGACATTGATCGAAATCTTCATGAGAAGTGAGCGCTTCCGGCTGTTCTTTCGCTTGGTGAAGTACCTATATGCGATAAATATTCTGCATAACTCAAACATTTTATAACTCTAGCATTTACTTTTCATAATTTTAGAAGCAGACTCTTAAACAACTTTGAACTCTCACTAGAAGACTTTGCTCTGTAGTTCAGAAGTTCTCCACTAACTATTAAGTTTCTACCAGTAATACATTTTTTCCAAGCTTATTTTGGGAAGTCAAAGTAAAACGCTTATTCTCGCATGGTTATAGCACCTAGTAAGTGATATTGAAAAATTTAGTCATAGGTTTTGGTAAAACGACAGAAAAAGATTTAAAATGTTTTCTTGCTTTGATCGTAACATGGTTTGTATTTATTACATGAATAAGTGATTGTGGCTGACCAGTTTACTTATAAGTGAGCTGCTCGTTAGGAGTCATCCCACACAGGTAGCCGCTCAGTTTGCGTTTCCGTTGGATATTTTGTTCGAGATAGCAGTAGGTTGTTAAATTGTACATGTATTTTGAACAAAGTTAACTATAGGGACGAGAGTTCCCCTTGTTAATTTTTTGAATGATAACTGGAAAAAAATAAGTAAAATACCGTAACAGTAAATTCTTATTTCAATTTATTACAGATGACTTCTTAAGCAAGACTTTTGACCGTGTATGACACATCTCTATGGTTGTTTTGTCTGAGAGTCATGCAAAACGTGCCCGAAAAAACTACCCATAATAGGTGAAATAAATATTGGGCCAGGTTCTAAGGCTGGGTGGGGGAATGCAGCCTCAATGGGTTCTTTGCCTCGACCAGGTTATGCATTAGTCAACCGTATGTTAAACTCCATCCTCCACCTTCTAGTTGGTTGCAAGTAAGTGGATTTTCGGTCTCCCTTCAGACTTAATTAATATTGAACCCATGCGTAGGGCTGGGATTACTATAGCACTGCAAAGATACATTTTAGCATAGCGGACGTTACAAAGTTTAGCATAAAATATTGTGCTTAAATACGGTACGGACGGAAGTTGTGTAAAATGCCGATATTTGCGAAAGATTGGTAATCCCTCGCAAAACGGCACTAAGCAGGGTTATAATAATGATTAGCGTGCAGCCTAATCTCAAGTCAGTTCAGTCAAGTCAGGACGTCGGCTTTTTAACGAGCTTCTTTCTGACCGCTTGGAAAAAATGTATACTGTAGGAAATGACTACAATGTAACACGCATCTAACTCATTGATTTTTATTGCCTTTATAAATTTAAGTATATTGTAGAGGAAACATGCACAAATCTATTCCTTCTTGTACTTTGTTTCTTTATATTTTATATTTAAAGGAAGGTAACTTTCGATTTTAAAAATTTTATGAATTGCAGAATAATTGTGAAACCAACCGACCGTAATATTTGAATTCAAAGTTCCTAAACTGCATGATGTGTACATTGTGTCAAAAGAAAAGTAAGTTCCCCTTACGGCGTAGGGAAGACGTCACATAGTTCTCATAAAATTTAGCAATGGATGCGGATCATGCTCTATGCATCATAGGCAAGATTAATAAATTGACAAATATGATGCCTTGTGAATGAAGATTTCAAGAGGGTAAAAACCTCATGATTGGAAACCTTTTTACGATCGAAATATACCAATTCTTCAAGACGTACATTTGAAGAAAGTATGATTTCCTGTCCAGAAAGTACAAGAAATAACGTTTTTGTGTACGTTTTCTACGAAATATTTTTGAATTTATAAGAGTAGTGAGAATCCCTGAGTTAAATGCATACTACTTAAGTAGTCATTTTTCATTGAATATAATTTTCGTAGGTGGTTAAATGATAGCTAGTTAAAAAGCCGGAATTCTGACTTCACCGAAATGACTTGAGATTAGGCTGCATGATAATCAGTATTACAATCCTACTTAATGCCGGTTTGTGAGTGATATTTAATCATTCGCAAAGTTCGGCATTCTGCATGACTTCCCGCTTGTACTTTGCCTGGATCAAGTTACGCATTAGTAAACTATTTGTACATTGCACATAATGTTGCATTAAAGATTATGCTTTACTATGAAAAAGTGATATACTACCCGATATCCATTTTCGTCTGTTTTTGTAAGCTAACATAAGCGATATCTCCGACCGACCAGTCTACCATTTAAATGAAGAGCGGGTTTATCATTTCGCTCAGTAGCTCTTCTTGGCGCTCATTTGCTAAGTATATAATCTCGGGCCTGAATGACTGGCTGTGACTTGGCTGAAACTTAATGATACCACGTGGTACAGACACTCATACATTATTAATCACATGAATAAAAAGTTTGTTGCATGTGACGGCTTTACATTTTTTAATATATTAGGAATGCAACGTTGGCTTGGGGTTATTTTTGGGACTTCCCATTTTTTCCTGCGAAAGCCTATTTAGAAACTCTCTGAAGAGAGTGCAGGAAAGACAGAATTAGCAAGGTTTATTCCTCCTTACTCGACAGGAGGGTTAAACCAGCCGAGTGGTCTATTTACGTGGGTATGATAAAACAGACGTCAGCACGTCAAAATTAATGTTGCGTGAAACTCAGTCAAGTAACTGCTCAACTGCTCAAACGCTTAGCTGAAGGAGTACACGTGCAACACCTTAGAACACAGCATGCAAGATGAGGAACAATGTCAGTTTGATAACTTGTTTTTATCCGAGCCTAACTGCGATAGCTAGGAACGCAAATAAGCATATTATAGAAGTAAAGAAAATAATAAATTAATTAACTAGTTTGTAGCACTTGTGAGTGTACGCGAAATTCTAATATCTTCATAATTTTACTTCTTTTTAGCCTCCACATACTGTGGATTGGTTATTTCATGCAATTGTTTGCTCCACTTTACGAAATAACCGGCATCCTCTGGTACTTGCGTCCCCTGGATGCGGACGAAACGGTCGATAGCCCCATGCTATGGAGGACCACGATGAAGGCGAAAGTCAGGTTTGACTGTGAAGTCAGTGTCCGCTCATTTACTTTGAGATAATAAGCATTTAAACAAATCAATTATTTTACATGATCTTTGTAGTCAAGGGTAGACGGGAAGCGGTCTTTAAATTAAATATTCAGCAATAGTTCTTACGTATTTCTCAAGCCCATTGGTTGGTGATTTATTTGTAAAAGAACTTTGTACACAGTGTTTACTATACTCTATAGCAGTACGGATATAAAAGAAAAGACTTAAGTGGTAAAAGGCTGTGCCTGGGACCCCGATGGCACAAGCTCAAGGGACAGTGGTGGAGCTATAGGTATGATTGAGGGCGTAATGAAGCGAGTGGAGGTTGCTAAAACTGTAGGTGTACCTATCAGGTCGGTCAAGTATTAATGGTCGCCGTACTAGCGAACGGGTACCCTCACAAAGCAGAAGAACTCTGGAAGACAAAAAAGTTTGAGGCGAATTGAAAAGACCGTTATTGCAAAATCCACTGGTAAACCAAGGCCTAGCATAAGGAAATTTGCAAACAAACTGCATGCCAAAAGCCCGATGGGTTCTAAGTCCAGTATGGATCAGTATTTGCATGAACGTTTGGGTGTTACCGCCGATCACAGAAGGAAAATCCCTAGCCAATGGGTGGGCTGCAGCCGATCAGAAACAAGTGGTCTTCTCCGATGAATCGCTGCATGAACTCTTTCATCCGCCAAACACAAAAAACGACGTTATTAGGACTCCAAGTTGTAACATGGTTGAGAATGTCGAATTTTCAAGGTTAAGCCGTACAGTTATGGTATTAGGAGCTATGTCCCTTGGAGGGCTCACTGACCTCCATATTTTGCCACAAGGACAAAGGGGGAATTATGAATATGATCTAGAGAAGACCCTAGAACAAAACCTGCTTAAAAGATTGAAACAAATTGGATGACCAAGTCAAAATTTGAGAATAAGCTTGTTCTGGACATGTCAAGGATTAGTTTTGTGCGAAACGGAGCCATAGCTCATACAGCCCTGGAGACCCAGAGGTTGCTGTCAGAGAGAATTCCACATTTCTGGAATAGTCCGGACTTGCATCCAATTGACAATTTATGGTTAATTCTTGGTGGCATGGTTGACGAGAAACTGCCTGCTCTTACTTTTGATGCTGTATTGGAGTGAGCTATACTGGACGCCTGGTGAAAGTTTCCTTGGAGGCTCGCCAGGATCTCCTTCATTCAATGCCATCTAGGGAAGAAGCAGTCCCAAAGGTAAAAGGAAATTTTCGATAAAGTAAACTTTGAAATATATATCACTTTAGAAACTGTGAGTGTGTTATTAGGGTACAAATAATTTCGGGACACCCCCTGAATATGTGCGCGTTGACTTTTAACTCGCATAGATTGAGCGTTCTGTTATAACTCCTCGTCTTGCAGTATAAAAAGTTGTATATGGAGGCTGTGTATTATGCGGCCCCGAGCCTGACTTAAATTGACCTCTATTTTTCACAATAAAACGGATTTTGAGTATCCAACAAACACTTTATCGTGGTTATTATGTGTTTTTTCTAGTTCTGTCAAAATGTTTGGACGTCAATGATGGGTACGGCCATATTTTCAGTGCATTTGAGTAAAGAAGTTCCGGGTGCATACATGCTTTGTTTCAAACTCCTAGGACAACAGTGTAACAAATGTGCTTCAAAGCAATTTCAGTCTGCAATATGGTATCCCGAGGAAGTCATACGGGTGAGTAAAAATTTAGACCTTTTTACTCATTTTGTGTTAACGTACTGGATCTTGAAGGCTTTTTTATCTTGTATGAAAAAATAAAACAATTACAAACATTTATTGTGCACAGACGGACAAAAATGTTTACTTATTTGTTCGTTATCGGTCAATCATACAACATTTTCTAGTTTAACGATTGAATTTTTCGGGAGAAAATATACCCTCCATCGTCCTCCAAATGGAAATATCAGCAGATGAGAAGCACAAGCTCCTCTAAATGACAGTGTTTAATAAAGAAAGAAAAGTGAGCATTTTTGTAATGCCCTATTCAGAAAAACTGATCGTATAGAAGGCACATCAGTCTTCGCTCAAAATCTCCTAAGCGTGTAAGGAATAATTCGACCAGATTTCCTATTGGAGATATAAACGTTACTGAAGGGGCTTTCATGTTTTTTTCTCGAATTTAGATAGTGTCCACTGACCACCTCGGTGTGGGAATAACTGAAATTCCCAAGTTATTTGAGTTAACTAGGAGGAATGCCCCATAAACCTGAGCATTTCATAAAATGGGCTGGCGGTGGAAAGTGTTTGAAAATAATGGCATTGGCGTAACTTTGCATCGTACTTTCAGAGACTAGAAAATCAACTGGAAGGTTACTATCCACGACAGCCTTTCGTAAATGAGATACTTTTCTAAATCAAGAAAATACTATGAAGTCCAGATGGACCGTTTGGAAGTTTGTTGAAGGTAGTCCATTTAACAGCAAATAAATGGCGTTCGTGTGTAGTTAATTTCTTCATTTCTAAACAACACGCTCTCAGTTGTACTACCTCTAGCATTATTTCACTATGAGTTAAGAATGAACTCGTATGAACATATGGGCGTGTGACTATACTCTTGCTCTGCGCTTTATGGAGTACATTAGTAATTTGTTCCAGAAAATCATGGAATATAATTT